CTGGACCGTGGAGCACGCAGGCGCTATGAACGCGGGTCTGAGGGAGGAGCCAGGCCCGAGCAGGCTCCCCAGACCCCACGCTGGCAGCCCTGGGAAACCTGACCGAAACCTGAACCTCGCCCTGGTTGGGGCCCAGGGCCTCCTTCCGCCTTCCTGGGGCACAAGGGGCCCCGCCTCGCCCACTTCACAGAAGTGGTTCCCAAATTCCAGCGGAGGTCCCCACCCTACTGGCTGGCTCTGGGCAGGCGCGGCCTCGGAAACTCCGGGGGGCGGGTCCCCCGCCCCCTCCCAAATGCCCGCCCCGCCCCGCCCCTCCGGGGAGTCTGGGCCCTGTGCGGCTCCCCAGTCGGGGCAGCTTTGTTGGTGGGGAGCGGCTGTTTTCTGGGCTGGGGCTTCCCTGAAGGACACAGTTCGCCAGGGGGGCTTGATTAAGCGGAGACCCCACCGGTGCGCCTGGTGTGAACCCCCACTCCGGTGCTGCCACCTCACCGTGCTCACCCCGCCCGCTGCAGGCCTGGGCTCCATTCCTAGGACAAGCAGGGGGCAGACGCCCCCAAGTGAGGGGCGCGGGGTGCGGGGAGACTGGCTTTCAGGCAGGTGCACTTCCTGACGTGTCTGTCAGAAGTGGCCCCAGAGGCCCGGCGGGCCTTTGCCATTTGCTCTCAGACTGACGGGGGTTACGCACGGGGGGGCAGGCGCAGGTCCTGCTGCCATGGACGCCGGCGAGGGTGCACAGGCCACGCGCCCCGACGAGGCCCTCATTCCAGCCTGCGGTGGGCATGAGAGGCCAAACGTTCTGCCCTGGCGAAGTGCTAGCTGGATGGGGTTCGGAAGGATGAGCAGGAGTGCGCCGAGGACGCTGGGACCGGGACTGGCACACCAGGTGGTGGGGGCGGCATTTGCCGAGCCGGTGGGTCTGCGGCAGCGGCTGCGCACGTCCTGGGTTCCGGCGCCAGGCGGAGGGAAGCCTGCCTCTGTGCGGTGTCACTGGGTGTGGCGGGGAGGCCGTGCGATAAACAGGCAGACACAGGCATGAATAGGACTCTCAGGTGTGCTGAGCGTGACGGAGGAAATAAAACAAAGGTGTGGAGAGGGAGAGACTAGGGCCCGGCAGGTGTGGCGGCTGGCGGGCGGGCAGGCTCCCGGAGGCCTCCCTGAGGAGGTGGTTTCTGTGCCCTGACCTGAATTCCACGAAGGCATGTGGAATGCAGAGAGGGTTTCCGGCAGAGGGACGTCACAGCGGGCGGGACGGGCGGCCCAAGGGCGAGGGGCTGCGGGGCCAGTCGCCAGGCCCGCCCCCGCCCTGGGGCGCGCCCCCAGCCTGAGTCCCCAGCCACTCCGATGGGGTGGCCCCCCAGCACGGCCCGCGCCACGGAGGAGGTCGTGCGGGCAGGGTGGGAGCCGCGGCCTGCCCCAGGGTTCCGGGTAGGGTGCTCCTGGGCGTCCCTGCGGCTGGGGAGGGCGGGCCTCAGAGCCAGCCACGGCTGGGGAGAGGAGGGAGGCTGTTTGTTCTCTGGGAGGGCCGGGGCCAGCTCGGAACGGGAGCCTCAGCACGGCAGGGCAGGGCGCACTGGTGCGGGCTCAGATTTGGGTTTGGGTCCCAGCTTGGAGCGGGTGACTCAGGCTTTCCCTCCTTCCCAGCTGCTGGCGGGGTCCGGCATCTGCTTGGGGGCAGGGAAACGGGGTGGGGGGTGGACTGAGGTTTGAGAAGCCCTCTGGGCTCAGGATGGGCTCTGCACTG